AATAATTTGTTTATTTACGGGCGAGTATTTTCGTTTCAATGTTTTAACCTCTATTAAATTCTCATATATAATCCGTATAGCCTATACGGAGTATATTGGCGGATATTTGGTTTCATCTGTGAGGGGCCTAACATTTCTGTCTTATTCATTAGCGGAAACAAGTATTTTTAATCGCTTCTGATGATTCCACCTACTAGCTGTAGTGGCTTTTCTACTCGTTTCTAGCTAAAGCACTAAATATATATATATATAGGTAACAGAAACATAAAAATATAAAATACTAAGTAGCTACTGAATTATTTTTATTTTAATTGTATATATCTATTTTTGGTGTATATATATTAACATTTGTTTCCGTTTTTATAGAATCATACATTTCTTTTTCAATATATAACATTGAGGTTATGTTGAACCGTCCCAGGTTGAGTGCATAATATTCAAGAGTTTTTTTTTTTTTTTTGATATAAGCGTGTGTATACTCGTCGCATTAAAGTATTCAGCGTTTAAACTTCTATTAAATTCTCACAAATAATCCGTATAGGTAACCTATTACTTATATTTCTGTGTGTCTGTAGTAATTAAAGTAATCTGAAATTACTTTCGCACTGTGGACCATTTCTTATTGAGGGACAAGTTTCGATTATGGACTTTGTAGTTCATTAGTATATTTTATCTTATTTTCGTACTTCATCTAACGATGAATGGTGCGAAAAACACTGTTTCCAATCATTTGGAATGTACATTTTTTCAATAGTCAACTAGGAATTAGAATTTTAGGTAGATAGTGGATTTACCTGATTGATTCTTAATTCTAAACCGTTATTAGATTACAGAGAACAATTGCTCTCATTAGTTTTAAAATCGATTTCTTTTATTAATAAATTTAATTACATATTATTCAATTTAAATCGTCAGTTTAAACTATTTCTACAGCTACATTGCAAACATAATGTCTATATTAACTAACACAGTCTTCTTACAGAAAAATTCAACTACTAGGTTAATTTAAAATTATAAAAATAAAAGTTATTCTATTATACATTGGCTTAAATTTTTTTCTATCCCAATGGAATTTCTTAATTTTTTTTAGTACATCATATAGAAGAAAATTTTAATTTTGCTCGAAACGTTTGAGTGGCATTTGCAGTTAATTTATTTAGAACCAACAATAACCTTAATTATTGAATTTCTATGATCACTTTTTTTTATTAAATTTTGTTTATATTAGAATCAAGAGTAGTTTAAAAAATATCCCTAACCATCCAACAAAATCTCAGGTAAAAATCATACTAAAAATATTGAAAATCAATCTATAATAATTATAAATACAAAATTGAACGTTTTATTAGAATAATTTCATTTAATTATAATTAAGATATTAAAGAAAAAAATAATGTATACTCGTTATTGACAATTGTTTTTAAAAATTTGTATTATTGACTATTTTTTGAAAAATCTTGTATAACTAATTATTATATGAATAACAAATATTTATAATAATTAAAAAAAAAAATTAACACTTTATTAGAATATTTTCGTTTAATTGTAGTAACTCTGATGTTTAGAAAAAAAAAAAAAAAAGTTTACTTATTATTTGAAAAAAATTGTCTCATTAACTATTTTTTGAAAAAAAAAATGTCATTATTTGAAAAAATTTATCTCATTAACTATTTTTTGAAAAAAAAAATAAAAACTTGTATAACTGATTATTATATAAATACCAAATGTTTATAATAATTTTAATTATGATGTGTACTTATTGTTATCAATTATTTTTAAAAATTTGTATTATTGACTATTTTTTGAAAAAAACTTGTATAACTGATTTTTATTTGAATACCAAACATTTATAATATTAAAAAGAAACAAAAAATTAACGCTTTATTAGAAAAGTTTTGTTTAATTGTTGTAACTCTGATGTTAAGAAAAAAAAAAAAATGTTTACTTATTATTTGAAAAAAATTGTCTCATTAACTATTTTTTGAAAAAAAAAAACTTGTATAACTGATTATTATATAAATAACAAATGTTAATAATAGTTAAAAAAAAAAAAAAATGTGTACTTATTATTTGAAAAGACTTTTTCAAATGATTATTATATGAATACCAAATGTTTATAATAATTGTAATTAAGGTGTGTACTTATTATTGTTAATTATTTTTAAAAATTTGTATTATTAACTATTTTTAGAAAAAAAAACTTGTATAACTGATTACTATATTAAAAAGAATTGGTTTTAAAAAATTCTTGTTATTACCTATTTGCCACTAAATTTGTATTTTTGAATAATATGAAAACATTTTAATGGGCCGGATGTAAACAGTAATAGTTCTATTACTTATTCGCTCTACTCAGATACCGTATAAATTCACGTGTACGAATACCTACTGACCACCTTTGTATTTGGTGGTTAGGATATATATGGCGACTCAGAATAAATGGACTAGATTTCCGATCAACACTATTGTGTGATGGGTGTGTAGGTGTGTATGCTTATCCTTAAACCTATTGATACCGTGGGAAATTACTGAATAAATGGTAACACAATTTTGGGTAACTATTTAGTATCTTTATGTTATTTGTAAATAAAAATAATAATAATAATTTAAAACAATACAAACAATATTGAATAATTAATAGTGTAATCAACCCCTTTGGCACATCAAACGATAGTATAAAATAATAACACACAACAATAATTATGAATTATAATACGAAATTACTCAGTACACCGACTGACCAGCCGCTAACCTGAATCTAAATAATCTACGGTAAGTATAGGTACCTTAAAACTAATAATAACTCACGGTATTTAAACATAAACTTAATTGGTGGGTTTATGTGTGTGCGGCTGGTAAATTATCAAATATTATAATTGGCCTGGGCATCGACCTCGAGGTACCTCTACCACTCAAGGCGGCGGTGACCCACGCACGCACTCAGGCCTCAACAATATGTTTAAGGAAAAATCTATTGATTTATTATAAGTCCTAAACAGTGACGTATTTAAGGGGAGGGCTTGGGCCCTGGACCAAGCCCTCCCCAATCTGGTAAGATTTTAGAGGCGATAAATTTTGAAGAACATTTTGATATAATATTGTAGGTTTTTTGGATAATAAAAAAAAAAATGATAATTTTAGTAATAATTTCTTTTTATTTATTTTTGGGTTATTTTTGATTAAAATTGTCCAAGTGAGGACAGTGAACCACGGCGCGTTTGAACATTTATAACTCTAAAACGAAGCCAGATAAACTTATTCTGACTTCTACAAAAAGAAATTTGTCATCAAAATATCAATATATACAAATAATAATAATAATTTCTATTTTTGACCACATTTTGGATTATTGATAATAATAATACCCGCAATGCTAGTTTTCAAAGTTTAGGTACAAAAACTATAAAAGTAAGTATGATAGGTAATTTTTGTTTATGACAATTAATTACGCATTAAAAACACATTTTTTAAAAAAAAAAATCTCAGGAGCTAAATTAGAATCGTTTCAAATTCGAGTTTTATGTTTATACTATTTATCTTTTTATAGATTTGTGAATTGTGATAATGAACCGCATTCAAACTTCAAGGTGACTCTGAATTGATGGCCGTTCAATATTTAAAATAAAAACATTTTGGTAATTATAGACAGACTAAATGTAGAACTAAAGGGTGTTTTTTTGTTCTCACCTGGAGCATAAAATATCTAAATACATCTCAGGACTCGTTAAAAATATATAATATTAAAATTTGTATTATTTACCTAACGGACGATTGTAATGTTAAAAATAAAAATAAAAGTTTATTATTATTGTCATGGAAATCGTATCTTGTTAATTATTTTGGTGCCGATGGACTGTATCCAAAACTAGTTTTTTTTTTTTTTTATTTGTACTAATTGGCTATGCCTGTCAAATTGTATTAAAAATAAATAAATACTTATTTATTTATATAGAATATTTGAAAAACTATGTAAGATTGATCAAATTCAAATCCTTTTACAATTAAAACAATGTATATTCTTATTAAGTTTTCCTGCACTCCTCTGCTAAAATTGTAGTGATATTATCAGATATTTTAATTGAAAGATATAGATTTTTACTAACACTCCAGAGCGATTACAATAATATTTTCTTGTAACTACAGTTTTATTTTTATTACATTTTCAGAAATTTATGACAAGGGTGCCCACCCTAAATAGTTAGGATGAAGGCAAAGTAGAAGAATTTGGTATTTCGATTAATTTAATGCTTTGTTGCATCATATACGTATTTACATTAAGACACACGTATGTTAAATTTCTAAAAGTTTATTTATTTTTAAAATAAAATTTGTAATTGTACAATGCGAAATGATAACATTGCAAAAATTGTATTGTATAATTTATGGTGTAGTATTAAGGAGTTTCCTGTGTTTTCAACCGTTGTTAATATCCATTTTTTGTAAGGATAAATAAACAAATGCCTAGTTTGGATATCAGAACTTCCACACTTGATTAAAGTTCTATTTTTGCTTACGAAATTGTATCCATGACTGGCAATGCCATATTGAAATCCATGACAAATCAAAGGGCCGCCACTGTCACCAGGACAAATCATATGTTCGTCCGGTTTTGAACATAAAAATTCTTGCCACGTAGTTTTAATTAATTCACTTTATTATTCAAACATAAATGCTATGTAAATCTAGATCAACATATACAATCTTGCGATAAGTAGGTACCTACTCTGAAAATAATTTGCATGCTTTTGAACCATACTTGACTTCAACATTAGTTATAAATCCAATATTTTTGTAGATATTGTTTGGATTTCCAGTATCACCGAACCCAAGAACAAAACAACTTAATTCCGTGTTGTTAGCAAATTCATCAGGGTGGCCGGATAAAATAGTATACTTGGTGACATTGTTGAATGGTACTGCCAACTAAATGTAAATAATTAATTATAGTTAGTTGTAATTAAGGTTATAACTGGTGGCTAATAAAGGTTCTAACTTACCAGTTATTTATAATAGGTACTTGTACTATAACAATAAAGCCCGATTCACACTTGTCAGACACGTACCGACAGACACCGTACCGTACCGTTCCGCAAAATATTTTAATATTTGTTTAAATTTAGGTATTTCACATTTGAACGTTCCTTTCCGTTCATACACGTACCGATCCGACAGCGTCCGTTGGACATTCCGTGCGAGAATGCTTTGTCGGAACGGCCCGTGTCTGAACGGGTCGGAACACGTCTGACTGATAAGTGTGAATGAACAACAGACAAATTTTATCCGTCTGCCGTCATTCGCTGGCACACCATTCGGTAAACACCATCATATTTTTTTACTATTTATTTAAATTTTTAAAGTTATTAATTGAACTCGTTAGAGATGCATCTCTCTCAATCACCTCTATGCACCTAACATCTAAACTATGTTGGATCGAAAGTGTGAGTACAGTATGACTATGTGTTGGAACGGTACGGCACGGTGTCTGTCGGTACGTGTCTGACAAGTCTGAATCGGGCTTTAGTCTTACTTTTAACAAACTGACATCTGCCATTCCATAAATCGGATTGTAATATGGATGTTCGTATATTCGGTGGACAGTTGCATAATTTTCATTAGTATTTGGACGGAACACCTACATACATATTTTCATCATTATATGTAAATTTAAAACCGAAGAAAAAAACTGAAGGCGTGAACTCTCAAAACCCCTCGTGCATTTACCACCGATTCATTTTAATTATATAATACCTATACTAGCTGTCCGGCGCTCGACGTTGCCCTTTGCAATTTTTATTATTTTTATCTTTATTCCCGTTTTGCGTTTCCCGTATCAGTATATCGAACGAACAAGAATAGGTGGAAAGTGGATAGTCCGCCTACTAGGGGTTGCATAATGAACAGTCTGTACTCTGTTGTAACTTTACTAACGAGCCTGTAATTAACCAAGTCTGTAACGTTTTGATGGCGTGTAAAAATAAAATTGAATTGCATTAAAGATTTCTATTTTATTGATAACCGTGGTTACCAAATAAATTATACCACATTTTATTTGGCTACAATGATTACTGGTTACATTATCGAGTGTCAATAATAAATAATTAATAAACATTTGAAAAACATTATTTTAACTACAATTTATTTTATAATATTTGTTTGATCTTTGATGATTGTGCCAAAAAGGGTAAGGCAGAATAACTTTACTATACGACAAACAACGACATTAATGGAATTGATAATTACCCATAAGGACATAATTGAAAATATTAAGACATTTGTTTTATTGTTTAACAGGTTAACTTAATTATAAATTACAACGTCCTAGGCAGCCTAGGCAGGGTAAAAATTAATATGCATTTTTGTTAATGTCAAAAAAAAAAAAAAAAAAACAGTCTTGGGAACCTAACCAAGCTGTGCAATAGTAAAGATCCAGAAACTGGAAATAGAATAATTTTAGAAAGAAATTATAATATTCTTATCACTATATATTAACGAATCTGTAAAACTTATAGATACATTATTGGACTAGTAAGTACAAGTCCAGACGTCCAGCAGCCAGGAAATTACAGACCCGTTAGCGCTAACGAGCGATCAAGAAACACCCAATTTTTTTTAAAGAGCCAGTAGTGAGTTAAAGGCTCTGTAAATCGCTCATCAACGTTTATGCAACCCAGCCTAAAAGTGTTCTAGTGTATCATATATTATTTCATCCGTGTTACCATAGATATCCTTACAACACAGGAATTAAACTATGTACCTACTAAAACGTACAAAGATTCAGACATGGCGTTTTACATGTTTTCACTTATTATAGATACCCACCCGGTACAATGCATAGATTTTTGTTTTTTCTTCATCCATGTTACCAAGGTCGCTTATCCTACTTCACAGTAACTAAGGGATATGAATATGATAGCCATATATCACCCCCAAAACCTTTTTTTTCTACGTTAAATAATCATAATTAACTTTTATTTTTTTAGTGCTATAAAACTTATTAAGTACTTATGTATATAAATCTTATTAATATTAACGAATACTCAAATCACCTCCAAAATAAGGTCCTATAGTTACGTCACTGCTATTTCAAACCAATAACAGGCTGGCAGACTGCTAGATAGACTTTATTTTAAATTATTATGGAATTTTTATTTCTGTTTATTATTTATTTTATGTTTTTTATATATTATTTCATTCCATTCATGTTACTAAGGTAAATAATTGAATTTTCGTACCTAATGAAAATACCTAAAAACCTTTTATACCCTTCAAATTTTATTTTCGCGACAAAAACTAGCTTAATTTTTTCTCTGAGGTCCCATCTATCTCTATACCAAAATTCATCAAAATGTATTGGTTCAGCGGTTCAGGTGTAAAAACGTAACAAGTAGACTTACTTTCACATTTATAATATTTTTCGATTTACTTGACATGCATCGTTATAATTTGGCCGTATAATTACATTATTAGTAGGATTATTAAAAAAATTTAGTATTTACTGGAACTCCCGTCTATGTTAAATATATATTATGACTAGCTGTACCGTTTGGCGTTACCCAGGCCAATTTTTTTGTTATTTCATCCGTATTTTGTATCACCGAGGTAATCCATAAATAAACAAAAATAAATAAATAAACAATTAGATATTCATCCCAAAACTACTTAAAATCCCTTATTTTACCCTTTAGGTGGATAAATTTTCAAAAATTCTTTCTTAGCGGATGCCTACATCACTATAGCTGCTTATCTGCCAAATTTCAATCCGATTCGTCCAGTGAGTTTGGTTAAGCGATGATCAATTAGTCCTTCAAGTCATGTTATTTTATATACCTATTAGAAACCGACAATTCTTTAAAATAAATACCCGGCAATACAAAAATTAAAAAAAGGAAAAAAAGTCGTCCTATGATTTTAAAGATTTTACTACGTCTAAGTGAGTACAATATAAATATTATTACTAAGTTTCAAGTCTCTACGTGTATTTATAACCGAATTACAGCAAAAACCTCTCAAAAATTAAAATTTCTTAAAAGCTCAAACATTTTGGCGAAGATACCGTCAGAAAATAAATCGAAAAGGCAAAAAAAAGGTATCTTGTGATTTTTCGATTAAATAATTTTTTTCTGTAGAAAACGTCGTCGGTGTTTTTTAAAAAAATAATTAAATCGTGAAATATCAGGTTTTCCTACGTTTTTTCTCACGTATGTGCTTTTATTTAAAAAAAAAACGTCGAAAATTAAAAAAATCACCTCTCTAAAATACAATCTAGACATTTTGAGCTTTCAAAAGAGTTACTACACGTAAAAATCGGAGCAAGTTTACTAGGAAAAAACGTGTCCACAGACAAGAACAAAGAACAAAGAAAACAAAAAAAGAAATAAACAGCATTGTAAAACCAATAGCTCTCTCGCTATGCTTGGAATCTAAAATATTGAGGTCATTAATCGAGATGAAGACTATCCTAGACGCCCCTGGGTTAAGTAGTTTCAGAGTGCATCACACGTAAACTTGTACGCGTAATTTGTATATAATATATAAGATTGTGTTATACATAAATATACTTATCTGAATTCAGTGGTATTGCACTTGCTACATCAAAAATATTCAAGTTTGTAAGTTTAAATATTATATTATCAATAGAAAAAAAATAACAACGTGATTATCTAATTTTGGGATCGCGTAAAAAAAACTGTAAATAAATCAGCCGATAGTATTTTATCAGAAAATATTACAGCCGATAGAGAGATAAGGTAAGATTAGAAATATAATTATTTATATGTCTATGTAAGATTTTAGATTAATTTTGTGTTTCATTCATAAACCAATAGGCAATATATTAGGCCTTTCGCACGAACGTTCATGCTCGGCTTGAATACGGTCAGTATTATCAGAAAATATTTTCGGCTGAAATACGGTTTTTTAATAGCCCGCTAATAAAGCGTTCCAAAAGCTGTACAATATTTTTTTCTACTAAAACTGACGACGCCTACTTCAAAAGATACTATTTGCTAGACAACCACAGATATATCTGTGTAGACAACTCATTGTACAGGCCGGTGTAGGGAATGACCTCTTTATATTTGAGCACCCACTCTATGGATTAAATCAAATTTATATTTGTATTTATCACTTATTCGTTAAAATAATTCTTAAAAGAGTAAATTATTTTCATATTACTAACACATTCGGGGTAAGTCTTTCAAACCCAATGTCCAGACCTGCAAACCATAGGCACGATATTGGGAACACGAAGTCCATTTCTTATGGTGTCTAATGTCTATGCACCCTTTGCAAGTACCTACATAGATAATATTCTATAGGTTATAGGTAAGTATATTATGGTTTATGATAATATATATATATATATATATATAATATTATCCATGAGTAGAGTATCTAGTACTTAGTAAGTACTAGGTACTCTCTGTGATCTCTGTACATTATAGCATTATACAAAATAACCTGCTCTTATTTAATATTCCCTGCAACGCGATTTACGATCATACGACGTAAGTTCCAATGTAATTCATACTTACCTTTCATTTCGTGTAAAATAGGTTCCTACCTTTATGGAAAAATTGTTTATCCTGTGGGTACAATGAGCGGCGGTCAACACGAACGACGCCGATATTAACGAGCCCGTACATATGGCGTATTTTGCCCTACTGATACGGATTTCCAGGCGTATTAGATACGGATATTCCGCCGGATCGTAAATATTACCGTTCGCTATAAAACCCTTGTTGTCGTGTTTAGACGGAGCGTTTGACTTAAATGAAGGTGCAGGTTGTACGCCAGTCACTAACATGATCAATATTAAAACCCATTGTAAATTTTGCATGTTGTTTTGTATAAGTACCGTATACGTGAAGTTTCAGGACGAATATAATCCGATATAGGTAATATAATATAATATTTACTAATAACCATGGCGATGGCAAAACACGCCATGCTTAAAATTCTGAACGTAGTAACTAGTGGGAAACATAATATATTACCAATATTGATTTCAATCCAGTTTAATGCCTATATAATTAATTATATGCGCACTTTTTTTTCTAACCATTTCAAATTTTCAACCATGACGTATTTCGAACATCGACAAATTAACAAAGATGGTTTCTAGTAACAAATTTTAGAATTTAACGTCCCTTCAACGTTCATTTTATAAAATCGAAATAAATATATAATCGATCAATCGAATAATCAAATAAATAATTAAATCTTAATTTCAAATTCATAGTGTGTACATTTTTATAATTTTTATTGCTTTCAATTTATTTCGAAAAAATAAATGAAAAAATTAAGACTAAATTACGAAAACAAAAAAAGTGTTTATTTGTTGTGTCTTATATCTACCTACAAATTGGTATTTTTTCAATATCGGAGATATCGTCATTTCGATATTCTAGTATAAAAGTTGAACATAGTTAAAATTTCGTCTTTTAACTGTTAGATCTTCAACTAAAATTTTTAGAATAAAAATTAAAGGTTACAAGATTTACTATAAGGACATTTAGTTTTGCATGGTATCATATCATTTCAATTATTCGCCGAAAATAGTTCGCACGAACAATTATTGTAAGTACAAGTTCTGTGCCTGTTGGGTTCCAAATTAAATTGGCGGTGCCATTTTTATAAGGAGGGTATAATAAACTTCGTCCACGTTAACGAAAATGTATAGAGTGAAACGGAGGTTATGTAGAATAGTAATTTAAATGTTGATAAAACAATTTTATGCAAATAACTATTGTTTTTTTTTTTTTTGTATTTTTCCCTTTGGAGGTCGATTTTGAATTAGCCCTCGTAATAGTTTTAGGAGAATGTTTATACTTATACATTATCTACTTAAATATCTACGTTCTACCAGTAAAAGCTTTTATGTTTAAAATGTATGTTAATGTTTATTTATTTATTAATAATCACGAATTATTATAAAAGCATATACGCATAAATACAAAGAACATACGCAATTTTAGACGAAAAGTTGTCATGGCATAATTACTTAATTTAAAAAAAAAAACACTACCAACAATTAAATAAAAAAATCATCCCAGCGATGCCGGGTGACGTTCGCTAGTAAATAATTACCTACTTTGTTAAATGTTTATTACTATCATTACACTTTCAACTGAAAATTGTAAGCAACATCACAAAAATCAGTTGTACGGTTATTATAATTTGCCCTCATTTTTTTTTATTTTGATGGTGGATTTTATCTCGCAACATAGTGCTAATTTTTTAAATTATTTTTATTTTATTTTTTTTAGAGTATAAATTAAATAAATCTTTTTGTTGGAACCTCCATATTTATGGTATCCCGGTTACTGTATTATATATTTTAAAGCCATAGTAATTTGATGTAAAATATAAAATAAAATTGGACGCACAAAAAATTGGTGAAAGTTGCATGGTTTGTATGATGTATTAGTATTTCTATTAATACTATCGCATAACCCATTAGATAATCCATGTTAGGCACCTAGAACATAAGGGATAAGTGACATTTTATTAATTTCGAGAAAATCAAGTTTAAAGTTATTTGTATTTAACACAATTATTATACACGATTATCATATCATCACTTATACTCGGATGATCAAAAAATTGTCTAGCCACTTGGCAGTAAAAAGAAACAACTGTATGTACAGCTGTTGTGGACCCTTGTAGCTATTTACCTCTATGTTATGACATTTTAACTTGAAGACTATTTTAGTGAGATCTGGTATTTGATACTAAATCGTAGCACATGACGAATAATTTTTTTATATTTCTTTATCACAAAATAAAATGGAATAATATTAATTAATTTGTGTTTTTAACTCAAATTTTTTTTAAATGTCACTTATACCTATTGTGTTCTAGGCGCCTCTAATGAAGTTCGATAATGTTAAGTTATCGATACAATTAAAATTAAATTTTGTCACTGATAAATTGACGTATAGATATTATTCGAATAATCTTCTGCAAACAATTGACACATATCTGTTTTGCAGCAGTAGAATATAACTTATAAGTAAATACATTTTTAAAGAATTTGTTAACATTTATTACTGAATGAATACATATCATTAGGTATTATCATTGTAATATAATTATCGAAATTAGATGTTTTTTGAAAATAATTGTTTCAAAAATATCGGTTTTGAAAAAAAAGATAGTCTCAATATCGGCTAGTATATGATTTTGTTTATGTAAATAATTACCACTAATTATTTTAACATTTACATGGATGAAAAACTATCTAAGTCAAAGTATAAAAAAAAACATCAGACTAGTTATGGAAAATATTTATTTATGTCAGAAGTATGAACTAAATGTAATTAATCGGTACTTGTATACAAGTATCAAAGGCAAATTCAATCTTATTAGTTCAATTAAACATTTTGGATTTCCAATAGCTTTACTTCAAAGACTGGTGGATAATTTTTTTTTAAGTACCTAGAATATTTAGTCAAGATTCAGTAAGGCTTTGGGAATACAATAAGGATATTTAATACATAAAAACAATATTTTTGTTATTTAATATCCATGCTATTTAATTATAATAAAACAATACAATCATATTCCTAAAATTCTATTTATAGAAAAACAAAATTGTATACAATAAAATAAATTCATAATAGGTTTATTTGTGTACTGCATTGAGATGGTGGTTAGACAATTTAATTTTTAGGACATTCTAAACATAAAACGGAATGATGTTTATAAAACATTTGTTTTATTATTATTATTGCAGTTTACTACTCAATTTGGGCAACTCATTCCACATTACTGAAAACAAAAAAACAATAAGTACTTGACATCACTAAATTTATAACATTTACATGTTGTAAATACATTGTTTATAGCATAACTTAAATAATATTAGTAACTTTAAAAAGCTTTTTATCATCTAATAGTTTAATAAATATTTAGTAAATATATTATGCATTAGACATGAAGCCCGCCATTGCAATATTATTGACTATAAAGTATTTTTACCTCTACAAAAGTATAGTGATCATAAAATGTGTTTCAGATTTTTTAATTGTATACATATATGTGTACAAAAAAAAAAAAAAACAATTATTCTACTTAAAATTACGGTTAGTAAAATTTAGATATCATAAAACAGTACACCAAAAAAGTATTCTTACTTAATGACCCATTAACCGAGAGATCAAACAATCTTAAAAATTCATACATATTATATACCTGTAAAATTACTCAAGGAAAATAATAAATTAATCATTTATCAACCATCCAACTCAATGTCATATAGTATTATGTTTTAAATATTAACCCAGTATAAAATAACTGTTAAGTGGTAAATCATAATTAAACGGTAAAGCATTAGATTGTATTATATTAAAAATTTGAATTGGATAAATTTAAGTACTCAATGTTTCTTTTTAATTGTAATATATAGCATTAAACAAAACAAACAAGCAAAAAAAAGAGTTTAAACTAGTTTTAATAATATAAGCATATTAAATGTGATGATCACATAGTATATAAGTTATTATGACTAGTTAATAAGAAAAGTAAATACCATAGTACAGGTATTTTATCAAGAATTCTAAAAGTAGTAGAATGCATTATTAAAATAAACATTTAGATTAGCAAAATTATTTTAAAAAATTGTTGTAAATTATGTGTAGTTTTTAAGTATTACAGTTGTAATGTCCAAGCAGAAAATTTAATAAATTGAATAAATTAAAATTCAATTCAATTGTGTAACATGCCATTAAAGCTAGAATTAATAATATAGTGATACTCTGGTATACTATATCTATGAATAAACTGGAGTACAACTATTTGTAACTTTTTTTATTGTGTAATATATGTATGTATGTATATATATATATATTTTTTTTTTTATAGTTTAAACTATTATTTCTTTAAAAACTAAGACCGCTTAAAAGAAACCAAAATCTTCTTGATCAGGTACATACACAATACGCAAAGTGTTGGTGTATCCAGAGCCTTTCTTCCATCCAGTGACAACAACTACTGGATCTCCAGCTTGAATAAATCCACGAGCTTTGCCAAACTTAATGGCATGCACAACACGTGTGTCCACGTCCTTCAGCCAATCTCCTAATGGTTGTTCTGTAAAAATATTTATTTATAATTATAATATAATAAAATTTTCATACTAAAGGTAGATAATATATTTTGTTTGATCTATGACCTAACCATTATAATACAAAGGTAAAATTCCACGATAAATGTGGCATTGTCGGGCAATTTGGGCATTTCTTGTAACAGCTATGATAGGACTACGTGGACGATATTTGGATATGAGATGTGCAGAATGGCCAGATGTCGTAAGCACAACTATGGCAGCTGCTTTGCTTTTATTAGCTGCGTCAACAGCAGCAATAGCAGTAGTGTGTGAAGCATCCAAAGGCAAAGTTACCTTAATAAATAAAATAAAAAAATAAAATAAACATTATATTAGTCTTTCTTTTTAAAAGGTATACTTACAGCAGATGATAGGTCGGAAAATAACTGTTTTTGCCAAACAGCGGTCTCGGCTTCTTTACAGATGGTGGCCATTGTTTGTACACATTCCAATGGGTATTCACCTTTAGCTGTTTCACCGGAAAGCATAACACAGTCAGCTCCATCCAAGATGGCGTTGGCAACATCAGAAGATTCTGCTCTAGTAGCACGAGGTTTCTTAATCATTGACTCAAGCATTTGAGTGGCGCAAATAGCTGGTTTGCCAGCCTACATAGAATATTCCAGTATAGTTATAATGCAAACTTACAGTGGGTACTAAGTTTTAATATATTTGATTTTAAACATCAACTATTAAATTTCTATTTAGAAAATATCAATTATTAAATTCATATTTATAAAATGATGTGATTAAACTGGTTTTAAAATTAAAATTAGGTAGTATACAAAATTAAAAGTTTCATGTGACATATTATATTAATGCGTTTTCGAAACTTTGTCACTTTATCAGATTTTGTTGGTGCATTACATGATCAATAAGTATTACAATTATTTTGAAAAGTAGTCACATTTTGATTTTAAACAAATTAGCAATGTATACTTGATTTGATTTTAACAAGATAATAAAATTATGTTATACATTAAATTTGTTTACAAACCATTTTAATAAATGGACTTATATAAACACATATAATAAGTAGTTAATAATATATAATTTTAATTTTAATGCAAAAACTTTCAAACCATTTCAACACCCTCATATAAACATAAAATAATGAAAATTACCTTGTTGCATCGTGCGATCATAGCTTTTTGGGCTAAGAAAACTTTTTCTGGAGGTATTTCTATTCCTAAATCTCCACGAGCCACCATAATTCCATCTGAAGCTTCAATGATTTCTTGTAAATTTTTCATTCCTTGATGATTTTCTATTTTTGAAATAATCAGAATGTTCTTTCCTTGTTCGCCTAATATATAATGTATATAACATAAAATTGTAGCATATAAATTAATAAACATTATTAAATATTAACCTAAAATTTCTCTGATTTCTTTAATTGCAGCAGCTTCTCTGATGAATGATGCAAAAATCATATCTACGCCTTGTTCAACTCCAAATTTCAAATCGCTTTTATCCTTTTCAGACACAGCTGGTAAGTCTACAGGTACCCCAGGCAAATTAACACCTTTACGACTACCTAATGAACCCCCATTCTCAATGGTACACACAATAAAATTGCTACCTATAGAAAAAAATGATTATAATAAAATATTTACATGTATAATAATGATAGAAAATAATACAATCAACATTCAACATACCAATTTCTTTCACAATCAAAGAAATGAGACCATCATCAACATACACTCTGTTGCCAGGTTTTACTACTTTAGTGATGTTGGGATAGTCGACAAAGACATTAGTGGCACTTCCAATGCTTTCAAATGCCTTATCAGTAGATAAACGAATTTCTTCACCTTTTTTTAACTCAACTTCAGCTGAACCACCCTAAATTATAAATATTTAAAAATTACAAAGGTAATTTAAAATTTTGATTAAAATATTAAAATACTTACTCCTTCTAACAGGCCAGTTCTTATTTCAGGTCCCTTTGTGTCTAAAGCGATGGCCAAAGGGCTATACAGACCAATCTTCTTACTGTAATTTTCAGCAGCTTGTCTCAAGTTCTTTATAGTATTAGCATGGTATTCATGTGAACCGTGAGAGAAATTTAAACGACCGACATTCATACCAGAATCGATCATTTTTTCCAAGGTATCCACAGCGACCGAAGCAGGTCCTATGAGATTAAATTACTAATTGAATAACTTCTAATACTACCTTGACACAGAAATAAATATAAGGACTTACCAATGGTACAAATTATACCAGAAAGACGAACAAATTGAGCCTCAACATCGATATCTAATGTACTCATGTAATCCAAGTGAGTAGTTGTGTTGTCATGATTTAACACAGTTTTAGCCATCTAAAAGTTTAAAAAATAAATGAGAACTAGTAAATAAGTAGTTATAAATTTTAGCAATCAAACATTACAAGGTTGATCATTAAACATCAATCAAGTAAAATCACTGTGGGTGGTAATGTGTAAAAAGCATTTGAAAATGTTTCAGGGTCATCAACACATTGCATAGTTTTGATGTATCTTTGGTTTATGCTTAATAGTAATATGCCTAACAATGTTACAAAATTGAAAGAACATGATACAACATTCAAGAACTTAATTGCAGATTCACAAAGCATAAGAAAAGAGTTAATTAGGCAAATGATATTATATTTTAAAAAGCATAAGCAGTAAGAAAAAATAAATATTAGGGATGTGATCAATCTAATAGTTAGCACTATTTTGTTTATTAAGGAGATAGGTTAGGTTTTGAATTTGAAGGTCGGAATTGAGACTTCATAAAATTTATTGTTTGATGACACCAGAAATGTCTAAAATATTAAAATAATATTTGCTTAGTATTCTATCAATAGTTTTCACGTTAAACATAATTTAATATTTCAAGATAATAATGATCCTATGTAGGCATTCAAGGGTAAAATTATTAATGATATAGGTATTATATTATACTAAATAGAAAAAAAAAACTGTTTAGCTAATATACTGATGAAGGTTAGGTTAATAATTTATTTACCTAATATTTAAATGTATCAAATTGAATAGTATTGTTCAATGTAAAATAAGATCCATAAATAGAAAATCAAAACTTGGCTTAACTTAAGGGGCTGAACAAAAATATACATTTCTAGTGAAGTTGTTTAAATATAAGTATTCAACACAAAATTTAACAGTACATAATTTTAGGTATTCCAGAAATTTCATGTTAAAAGACCACTATTATGATTTGTTATTATTTTGTACGCTATTCAACAGATTTAATATTTTTAATTAAAATTGTAGATAATAGGGTAAAATTAAAAACTGATTTATCTTTGTATTGTGTTATAATTATTTATTTACTATATTTAAATTTCAAGCACAGGCTATACAAAATACACATACTAAATTGGAGCAAACAAATTAGTAGAACACTTGAAAAGTTAATTATCTATAAGATTAGATATCTACACCATTTAATATATATAAATATTAATTAATGATAGTTTTTTAGTCAGATAATTATTTTAAAATGATTCTATACTTGAAGATATCAATTTTTTCTAAGTAATTGTGTAACAAATATTATTATAATTAATTAGGGAAATTTATCAAAGTACCTATATACATATTTTTGAAATATTATATTACCATATTTTTATACAGGAACAACCACACTCAATATTAGATCTGATGTCTTTTAATAACTTAAGAGTAAATTAATTTTTTTAAATTGTATTAAATTAAATCCAACTGGATATTTTACTAAAATGGTAAAAGTATGGTTGGTACTTGAGGTAAATAAGTAATATTATAATGACCTTTAAATTTAAGATTAAAATATAACTTTACTAATTGGAGTATTAGTAGGTAATAGTTCAAAGTGCAATGGCATAAATTTAAAAAAACCACAGGAAGAATTATTTTTCATTGTAGGTTCCTAGTTTAATATTTGCGGGTAATAAAATATACATAAATAATTATATATATTCTAAGAATATTAATCAAATTAATGATTAAGTATAGATAGTTTTAATTATGTATCAATATGCTGTCAATGTATTAGGACTCTAGTGTAATTAAAATTAACACAGTTTCATTGGTCGCGTTATTTTGTAATTTACTGTTATTATATAAATATGCTGTCTGTGTTATTTGTGTAATACCCGTTTAAGTTCAATAAATGAAAAATAATTTTCTAAAATTGGTACCGATTTTAATATTATATTAAATACAATTTAAAATGACATAAAAGCAATGCATTGTATCGCTTCTTTAATCTCTAATTAAATAATTACTACACAATAGAACATGGACAAAGCTAATATTTGTATAAAATTATAATCGAGTGATTTATTATTATTTAGGATTTGACACCTCGGGTTCAATGTTGGTAGATTGAGCGCGTTTTGTGTAGTGACCAAATCCAAATAGGGCTGATGATGTTGAAATTGCTGCAAGAGGAGTTTTGACACGATTGTTGACAATACAACGAAAGACGACGGTCGACACACGGTGCATTTAAATACAACGAACTGGAAGAATGGAAATTAGGGATAAACAAGAAAAAAAAAAATCGAAAACTGTCGGATAACACGAGTTTCGTGTATAAGACCGAAGTGCTCGTTAATCCCACCCGGCTTGTATATTGAGCCGGCTTTGATAAGAATGTTAATATATAGGAAAAAAATCGAACTTTAGTTTCAATAGGGAAAAATCATTTACAGATTACAGCTAAAGCGAGAGCCTCAAGGTTACCGCAATGTCAACCTGTAAATGACACTAGGTTCGCGTGTACAAAACGTTCGCTCGACGACGTTAATATTATTGTATTATATTTATTATTATTATTATTATGTCAGACAGGATTTAAAAATAAAATAATATAGGTATAATAATAGGCATGTTATAATTTATAACAATACGGATCGTGTATTTCTGATACTCACTTTGGTTATATTGCGGCAACGGAAGACGATAAACGAGCAGGTACAATAACGAGTAAGTCTACACGAAAATTAGAAAAATTATTCCTAAACGACGAATCGAGTTCCACGGGCAATGTAAAAGTAATCGAACATTCACTACAACACTAACAAAGTGCCGCTGACTGAGTGAATGTGGTAACGGTTTTCCGTTTTCGATTTTTCCGGCGATATTTTATGGGTTGGTTTTTTTCGATGTTTGTTCTTCAATAACTTCCACTTTCGCGATGGCGGCGGGGGAATGAATGTTTAAATAGGTAGTCTGTGCTTCAGATAACCTGGCACCTGCCTGGCCAAATCAAGGTGAAATCGTTGGCAACAATAATTATTATTATTTATCGAGACAAGTATAGTACACTCTTACCTACAATTATAATTATACGATTTTAGTAAATAAAGTACGGGCCAGCCGCCAGCAGCAGCTGACGAAATACCGGCAGTATGTTCAATCAATGGTTACTGATAACGACGGAGTGATAACGAAATTATCGTCCGGAACCGGCAGAAGGCGGAACCGTGTCCAGGTCAGAATTGTTTAAACACCTTTGTTGTCACTTCGACTGTTTAGGTATATTATTATTATAAATGTTAATTATAATATTATAATGCAATCTAATATTATTGTAATAATTCACCAGCATTTTTATATATCCTTCGGGTCAAATGTATATGATATCTGTTTTAATAACCTCGGTACCTACCGACAAACAGATACGTTAAATTGATTTCATAACCAATATGGATTTTATTTCTTTTAATGCTATATTAATTTATCATATCTAGTTAGTTTTAAGTACACAATCTAATTGATTCGTTAGAACGAGACAAAATTAAATCGCTTAGATAACATTAATTTTTAATTCATATTGATTATCAAATGTCACTGTCTTATTTAGCATCAGGTTATCAGACTACCAACAGCCTATTGAATATTAATGTGTATAGAAATGTATTAAAAATATTAGTTACCTATTAAGATTGTATTATATGTAGGTATGTAAATCTGTAGGTATTCAAATTTATAACTTATGAGTACATTATTTGGATGTGCATCTTATAGTTATAGGAGATTTAGATGAATAATATTCATGTGTGTATTATTATATTACCATTATTATAGCATTAGTATAATTTGCTTATTCATTTAAAAATATCATATTTTTTTTTTATTATTACTATTATTATTATTCGTTATTTCAACATAATGTTTAAGTTTGATAGTACTTGTAGCCGATTATTTTTTTTCTACTTTAAAAATGCATTTAATATTTAGGTGTACAATTTAAATAATATATATTATTTTAAATAATCTTCAAAACTATTTATATTAAAATAATAAAGTTAAGGTTTGAAATTTGAATTCATTTAAGAAGTTATTGTTTGTTTATTATTTGATTATGTACCTAATAAAAAGTAAATTACAGTTTTGTTTCTTGTAAAAGTTACATACCTATTTACCAAATAAAAAAATTAATTACAATACACAGTGATCTTTTTTTATCATGAACCTGCAATTATCTCAGAGGATTTTAACTGAATTTGATTTTTGTTTTTTCTAATCATTATGGAATTATTTAAGCTTTATTTTAAAACCATTTTTAATTTTTTACCCCTATTCTATATATCTTAAATAAGTACATACTTTTGATTTTCAAATAGAACCCCTCCTCTTGAACATAGATTTGAATAAAGAATATTTTTATAGAAATTTTGATATACCTAACATTAATATTAGATTTACTGTTTATGAATTATAGCAATTTAAAGTTTAGACCGGAGGAGTAGGGATGGGTTATGGATCGGCCTCCTTTGAGATAATTGCTGGTCCATGATAAAAAAAACACCCTGTATATGTGATATAAGTTCTAACAAAATGATGGTATTTTATTGTTATCAAAACTATTAAATAAAAACAGATATTCTAAGTGTAGGCAACTGAGTGGCAAGTGCATACTTAAGCACTTAGGAATCTAGTTTTGTTAAAATATTATATGTAAGTGTATTTTAGAAATCTGTACATATTATATGTACATGATCATCATTTAAAGCTCAGTTATAAGCCTGAACAATTTGAAACTGATTTAGTTTTCAAAATATGATTAATTTAACTGATGAATGTAATATTATAGATAATGTTAAATTGATCAATGATTGAATTATTTACATATTTTGAAATTTGGTTCTATGCAAGTATTTATTAGAGGGTAGTTTTGCTATGAAAACAGTATTCTGAGATAGTTCCGTAATATAATTATATTGTATAGGTATACGTTTTACTCGTCTTGGAGGGGGTTCGCAGGGGGATAGAATATTTACCTTAATTTATTTTTCCGAAATTTTAGCATATTTCTACTATTTATTTTAAGTGGAAAGCATGGGACAATACATATTTTTATCAGATTGCATTTTCATTACAATTTTTAATTTTAAACAATTATATAAACAAATTACCTACCTACTACATTATACTCAATTTTTTTTACTACTAAAACTCATGATAAACCTTGTATTAAATTTTCGGTGAGCCAATATTATTTTAATCACATAAAACCAAATAAAAACCTTAATAACTCGAACATTTTAAATGGCTATAAATAACTGAAAAATTGCCAGAGTGTTTTGAAATTTTTATTATATCTAGAAAAAGTTATGATTTACTAAATTGAAAAAAAAAAATTAATTGTTTTAACTCCTTGGGAGGTTTGTCCACAGAGGTCAGGTTGAGTTAAATTATTGAAATTGATGTTAATTTTTGTTCGAATCTTATATAGTCTCATATTTTTTATTCCAATTTGAGCACTAAGTATATGTATAATGCAAATATTTTAAACATATGACACATTTTAATATTTGTAGAGGTTGTTGAAACTTCTCACGTAACATTTAAATAGGTAAAATAGTTATAGATTTCGTATTGTTGCCTTTAAATTATTTAAACAAATTCTTAAATTTAATAAATGCCACGAAAAGTCACTGAATATAGCTTATAGACACATATACCAGTTTAAAACCATAAATACATTAAATCCATTTTATCTTGGAAGATTAAGTAAGTATTAATCATGAGTGTCATTAATATTGATTACCTATTTTATTTTTAAGTTCGTTTTACCTTTCTATATTCATTTTTTATTTAATAGCCACATAATATTGAGTAAATACCTATTGTGGGTACAAAACTACAAACTATTGTAAATAGTATTTTAAATTCGCTTGAAGTTGCTGGTAATTAAAATATGCTATATTACGCACGAAAAAATAGCAAAATGTTCCAAACATTAATTTTAATTAGTAAATCCTAACTACATAGACGGTTTGGAAAAGTTGGCATTCCATTCTTATCTTTTAGATTTCGTTCAATCGCGTAAAATCGTAGGTATATTGGATGCAACTGTTGCGATGACGTAGGTAGTTGTTTTAATTGTTGCCCTTTTGTAGTACCTATGTAGGCTAGGTGTAGGGGGATATGTTCTGGCTATTGATTTTTCAACGAAAACCTTTTATTTTTGACACCTCTGCACGTTTGTATCTATTCACTTCTGTAACATTTTTAAAGGTCACGCTTTTTCATTTCGATTGTATTGGCTGGTAGGTAGGTAGCTTTAATCAAAAATCCATTAGTTCGCAGCGAAAATCAATTTTAAACTTTTTACTAAGACATTTAGATATTATATAATATAATATTATTATCTTTGACCAATGATTGCGTACAGGCTATTAATTAACACCCAAGAAAATTACAATATTAGATTTTTATCGTGCATATTTAGATATTAGACATTTTTATACACGACTCAGTATTCGGTAGCCAGAATATAATAATGTATACTTATCTATTACTTATCTTTTAAAATATTATCCATTACGTCTTTATAATGAGGTCGTCATGTCAATAATATTATGTTAGTAACGTCTTTTAATTTGATACATATCAAAATATATTTAAGTACCAGGTACCTATATAGGGCCAATCGTATGCTTTTTTAAGTTTAAAAATAATTACACGTAACAAATAGATAGTTAGAACTTGGGATTTATTTTCTAATCCGTTTATTGATTACTACAATGGACATTTTTTATTTAAAATATACTTGAACGTTAGAACGTTAGATAGGTATTAGGTACTATATATATTATATATGTACATGTTTTCCTTTTTGTGCACATGTCAAGAAATATGTTTTTCTATCCAATCGTAAAAAACTATAAAATATCGGGCTTTTAATTCAGATTTGTTTTATAAATTACATTATATTTATCTGTTTCGGAAAACACTGCAAAGTTCAGAAAATTTGTGACGAACTTCTTACCAGAGATAAATAATGTATTTCAGAAAATCTAAGTATGTGTCCAAATATACGTATCTAGCCCTATATTTATTATAATATGCTTCAATTTACTTGAAATAAGCTTTATTTTTATATCATTTATGAACAAATATTAAAATGTTATCAATATTGCCCAGTGGCTGGGCATTTTCAACGAGAGGAGATTTAGTACATAATATTCATAATTCACGAATGAATGGCAGAATATTTTTTTGAAATACCTAACTCGACAATTATAATTTATAAGCCGGATCCAAAAAAAACCATCTTTTATTCAAAAAATCAACTTTTTCCTTGTAATTTAGCTGAAATATACTCGTATATTATTTAAAGATAATATTACTAAATAAAAACTCATAGTTGTACTTTTAAGCAGATTCAGAAAGAAGATATAATTCCTAACGATCTCTTCTCTGCGAACGCTACTGATGACGCTTCATTTTAGATATACAGCATATAAATATACAAATATCGTATATTTATACATAAATAACTGAAATAATAATTATTAAACTGTTTAACTATAGGTATGTTTTATAATATAACAGTATTATAATACAAATTTAGTTATTTGACATATAGCTTCGACATATCATTATTTTAATTATTATATTGTTTCCATGTAGAATGTTGAAGCATTGGTAAATTTCTTGTTTTTAAAGAATTCATACGCTTTTAATTTATGGTGGTCATGAATATTACTATTCAGTTTAATTATATTTCTGCAATTACGAATATAGTACGATTTAATTTGAATTACCTAAGTTATCCAATAAGTCATTGTAGTGTGAAAAATGTTAGAGAACACTGCTATTGGTTGTGACGTACGTCATGTATTATTTTATTTACTTTAGTACTTATATCTTCTCACAATAGGTACTCGAAAGGATATTTTATAAATATTGAAAAATAATTATTTTACCATTGAACAAACCGATAAACTATAAAAACATTTAATATTCGAGTTGACGTCGTGCAAGTATTTCATCGTTATATGTGTACATATAAACTACTACTACACACACATAAAGAGTATAGGTTATAACAATATAAAAATATTTTTTCAAACTTTGTAAGCATTTATCTCGTTACAACTTTGATAATATTATCATTATTTTTGCGATTAAAACTTGTATAAAGATAATATAAAGAAAACAAGAGACGCTGTCAACGTAATATAATGTAAATAATGTTATACTTTCCTACTTGTAGGTACAAGTTTTACGAATACACATTTTATTGTACATAGGCGTTCACTTTTAATTCGATTTGTTTCCTTCCGTTTATTGTAATAGTAAATCAAGAACATGCTGCAATATTCTACAAAAATACACATTTATTATCAATTGTAAATTCTCTATAAAAACCGCAGGTTTGAAAGTCTAAAGGTATAAAAGAATTCGTGGTCAGTGCGTATTCTTTCAAAAAAAAAATGTTAGGTTGAAAGTTTAAAGGTAAGAGCATTCGTCAACGGGTGACCTGACATAAATTGCAATCTGTTGGAAGCTTTTGTGCGTAATCCGACCGACATCTTTTCGGCAGTTTGTCATCATATTATTCAGACAACGGCCAACACTCGGCCCATTTGTCTACAACTAGGTACCTAATATTATCCCCTCGGGATATGACTACGTCTTATCTTTCATGTTTTACGACAGTATTGTTTATAAAATATCGACCGCGAATTTTTCAAGTTGGTAAAGGTATATTAGATTTTTAGCGTAGCGAGGAATAAAGTGGTTTACTATAGTGTGTGATTTCTTTTCTGTCTGTCTTTCGACCAGAAATCTTGCTCCAAATAAAAAAAATCACAAGAAACTATTCGTGTTACATTTGGCTCTAGTTGGTAAGTCATTTTTTTGATTTTCCATTAGTTTTCTAAATCATAATTGTGCAAAAATGATGAAAAAACAAAATAGTTTACGGAAATAACGGTTTCATTATTTTCAATTTTGTTTTTTATTGTAATACGGTTAAAATAAATGCATGATTTTTGAGCTATTTGTAGGCATTTGATATTATTTTAGTTTTTATTTGGTGTTTATTATGTGGATGAACGACCAAATAGAAATATTTGGAAATTTAACAGGAGATTTATTATAAGTTGTACTTAGGGCCAAGAAGAAAAACTTAAGTTTAATGTAGTTTTTTTTTTTGTAAGAATTTTAATATAGAATTTGACAAAAATCGCAATTATTACGGCCTTTCAAAACATGTATAATCGCGTGAACGCCACTCAGAATCGGTTTTCGTTATGATTAAATGTTGTGTACAGATATACATTAAATTTCCCCTCTACCTTCCCAATTTTTCACCTAAAATAGTGGCTCACCCATCGTGTGAAGTATGTCCGTTTGCTTTTTGTTTTTGTTATAAATAAGTCATTATAATGAAAGAAAAAGGTCTTGACTGACTTTTCTTAAATAAAGATGACCTCTAAAATCAGGACTCTTATAATATTATGTAACGAACGATGTTTATTTAAATATGTTTGCGTTGTGAATATCATTCAAATGACAGTCGCTAATTTCCTCAGCTATAATCATTGATTAAATATTTAACCTAATATTTAACTAAGGTGTTTTTAAAGCATATTTGATATTTTAACTATTAAATAAGCATCATGAATAGTATTTCAATTTTAAAAAGACTTGAAAAATCATTGAGAACGAAAAACGGTTTTGAGCAGAGGATTATTAGTCTTATTTTTTCTGTTATTTTCAAGGTTATATAGAATTGTAAAAACAATTGTCAGTTTTTCTCATTTGTTGAGAAAGTTATTGATTGGAAAAATAAACATATGTTCCAACGCACCGACTAGATCAAAAATACTACAAGAACAATTAGTATTTGTTTTATTGAATTGTATGTATGATAAATAAGTGGTTCAATAACTGATAAACATACTAAACAATTAAGTCGATAATAATAAAAAAAATGTATGGTAAAATAATTTAAATAATTTAAAATCCACAAAAAGTGAACAAAAAGTCTTCAAAGCTCACTTAAAAAAAAAAAAAAATGATAGCATGTTCTTAAAAGCTCTAACCTATAAAATACAATAATAGGAGAATATAAGGGTAATTATAATTATATTCTCCTATATACCGTCCAAACATTCTACCTATAACTGTGACCTGTTCGTGGTTTGAAGTATGTTCGGATTTTTATTATAGACGTGTTTATTGCAACTGAGTTAACCGGACCATACAGTAAAAATTATTATTATATTTTTATTTAAGGTTATCTGGGTCTTGTATAATATTATACGTGTAGTTTCAGTATACTTAGTAAATTGTCCAAGAAAATGATTCAGGGGTCATCAAAAGTTATCGTTTTGTTAATATATGTTATATTATTATGAAAAAATGTGACAAGATTTTTTATTATCTACATTTATCATTTTTTGTTGTTTAATAGTACTTATTATATTATACATAATAATATTTATTAATAATATTTGTGGGCATGTTCAATGGACGGGAAGATATTTTAATAAAATACTAATAAGAATATATTAGGTAAATTGTAATATTATTCTCACAGATATTAATATTTTTGTAAAGAATTTGATGTATAATAATAAACTTCATAATAACTTGAAGGGATGCCATACCACATTTAATTTTTTGGGCGTTTGGAAAATTTCTTTTAAAAAACAATGCATTCCGCATTCACATTTATCAATATTTGGAATACATTCTGAAAAGAACTTGTTTTAAAAATATTGTAAACTTAAAAATAAATACCTAGGTTTTTTCCCTTATAAATTGTAAAAATAAAAAATATCATTAATTAGTAATAAATTATTAATTATAATATGATTTTAATATTTTAACGATTAGCTTTACTAATATTATGTTAGGAAAAAAATTGATTTTATTATATTATTTTATCATTAGCATTGACATTCCGACATAAATTTACTCAATTTAAAATGTGAAAATTGTAAAATATAACATTATACATATAAAAAAAGTAACTGTATTCATGAATAGATTTCTCTAAAGAATAATCCAATTTAACTAGTTCTGTTCGGTAAGACTAATTAGTTGATGATATCAGTTTACATTTTTCAGCCAGTAATATTGTCGACCTTAATAGTATACGTTCGATCGCTTACTAGACTTTAATGTCTTTATTAAGAGAGTTACATGTATAAGGATCTAAAAATGCTTAGTTTTTGGAAACTAATATTTCCGGAATTTATAATGTATAGTTTTCTGAAAACATTATATTGTGCATTTATTTGCTCCCATTGAGGTGTTGTGATCTGGGATCCACTCACCTTACGTGATTCTAACATACAGTGTAAATTCTTAAGATGCGTGTCTTTTTCATCGAATACAGAGTGTTATCTGCATAAATTATTACACTCCGGTATTAGAATGTTTAAATTTAGATATGCGCATTGGACAGCAGGAGAATCAAGAAGAATCTAACTGATAATTCCTATTTAAGCTAATTAATGGTTAAATGGACCCAACCGGTTAGCTAAAGTCAATTTTAAGATTCCCAGTGCTCACTTGCGTACATTTTCTCCGTCCCCTGATCTTATGTGTGCAACTAACTATTTATTATATTACAAGTCCGTCTTGCAAATTATGAGGCTTGTCACTTTTAATGAATTTTACTTCTATCACATTTTATTTTTGTTGTTATTTGGGTTGTTTATTTTGTATACTTTCAAGTACCTATTATATAATTTGTTTTTAACTATACCACAGGGCTCATCCTGTTAATTTATAATACATAAATATACTGATGCATTCTTCCCAAACTGTTTCAGTTCTATCAACACATAATGTAGCAAAATTTCGTTTAACATCGGCAGCTTTGAGCTGTTAGTTTTAATATTAGAGTGTATTTTCCTGTATTATTATTTTTTTGTTATTTAAATTTTTAAGCGATGTTTTACGAGCACGTGAAATATCGCAAATTAAAAATTGTCATATCTCGCGTAAAAATTAAAATATCGGAAAATACCGATTTAAAATCACGGACAATCCCCGTTACCTTAAAGTTTGATAATAGGTCAATTAATATTGAAATTAACAGCACAGTGTTGTCCCTGTTGAACGCGAATACGCTATGTCTCGCTTATACCCGCTCTCTCCGTCAGCGGGTATATCATCCTCGTTCTTAAAGTTGTATTATTTTTTACGACCGCTACGCACCATGCGATTATAGCAGTAGCAGAATATAAATTGTCAATATGAATTTTGTAAACATTATCAACCGTCCGCACGAACGGCGAATCGCACAATAAAAATAATTTTACGGTTCTCGTGGTTATATTATTTGTGGGCAGGTACCCTCTAAATGTGAGATTCTACATAATATACAGAAAAACATTTCACAACATGAAATCCATTTATATTTTATTCTTGAAACCATATATCTATATATCTATAGCTATAGATGGGCTCGGGTTGGACCGGTCCCCCGTGACGTTTGTGATGCTGCGGGTAAATTTCGTGATATATATATATATATATTTATTTTTAAATTTAAAACAACACAATCTCCAACCCGTAGATACGTGAATCGAATATATTTTGGCTTTGAAATTATATCTGCGAACGGATCGTTTTTCAAATGTTCAACTTTAGTTTCGTTTACATTTACAATATGCGTAGACCTATAGGTTAATCTATAATTATGTGCATTCTAAATGCAAATTAAATATTCGAAGTCGTAATTTTTTTTAAATGTCCGCGACCATATCTAATGATTGAAAATAAAAATAAATAAACGTATGCAATGAAAGTATTATCATTTAGTTCTCCGACAATTGTCCAGTAGTTTTATATTCATAGAAATGCAATTGTCTGGTTCCGTTAAGCTGTAGCTAATAATTAGTATTGTAATTTACGAAAAGGGGTTTGTACGAATCTAAATATAATTCTGAATATTGTAATACGCGTTTATTACCTTGTTGATGTCCACTCTCGAACATTTTACAGGCCTTCGTCGACTTGCTGGTTAAATCGTTTTACATATTTTCGAAAATGTTCTCTTGATAAGACCACTAATCGCGCACCGATAATAAATTACGATGTTAGGATCGGTTGGATCACGTCATGTATAATCGCCATGATCGTCGTTATCGTTTGTTCGCTCCGAACCCATTAATATACTGCATCAGTCGTGGGATATATGATATAATTTTTCTTTTCGAAAATACGATGTCGTCAATTTGATCGTTTTATTTTTTATAAAATAATATAATTAATAATTATATTAGCTATTATAAGTATGTATATTATCTACAAAATAAAATGTGTATACTACTGTGTTTAGCCAAACAGAACTATGGCAAACTAAATTTATAAGAAGGGCCGGATGGTCGTGTGTGTAACAATAATTGTTATCAGTCGCGTGATGTGTAATTAAAATCGGTTAAAATATTAAATCATATAATAATTATTATTATTGTCGTCATTTGATGATAGTATGTTATTCATACATAAAAAAAAAATATCCTATCTCGACCGAGTTGATAAACAGTTAAAATTTACGAGTACGAACAACGTAGTATTTACTTGGAAAAAATCCTGGCTTACCCTCCGGGGAGATACTGCATTAGTGTGTGTAGTGTCGTCCGCTGGTAGCGTGGCGCGGTTTTTTTTTTTTTTTTTTGTCAGTCGTTTCCAACCGGTTATACTCCGGCACTCCGCGTTCAGTCGGCGTTTGCGAACACACGTAGCATACACGTACGTCGTCGGTCGATTTACACAATAATAATACTTATTATTTTTTTTTTTTGCTGTATATTTATTTTATAAATCCCATTTACAGGACCCTGCAGGTGTTTAAGACCGCTTGTTTCCCACCCGTCGTCATGTCTTCAAAACAAGTGATCAACTTCGGCGCCGGACCGGCCAAAATTCCTAAACAAGTAAATAGTTACATTTTTTACATTTGCTATAATACTGATAAGACGGCGATTCCATTCAAACCGAAAAAACTATCGCGATTAAGAGAAGAGGACGTTACACAATTAGACGTTATACGTGAAATATTGGTAAAATAATTATTAAATTTTAATATTTCACATACTCATATCTCTCTAAAAAATTAAAAATATAAGAAAGTAACACCAACATTGCACAGATAATTTTCTTATCTCTAAGTTTGATAATAGGTCAATTCACTCTAATATTAAAACTAACACCAAAAAGTTGTCTCTGCTAAACGTAAATTTGCTATATCGTATGCGTTTGTAATACAAAGAGCACAAATGTCTGTACAACATTGTATAACGTCCTCTTAATTTTATTTCTGTGAGAGAACACTTGGGCACACTCTTAATGCTCTTATTGTTTTTCGGGGTATTTGAGCTTAAATATTATTATTGACTGCAGAAGCTCTTATGCAACTTTTCATGCATAAGCTGTAGACGAAATAATTACCTACCTATATTTTATGTATCTAAAAAAGCCCATATTATACGATTGATTTTTAAAAAAATATTTCATTTCCTACAGGTTTTGGAGCAGGTTAGAGACGAACTGTTGGACTGCGGTTGCGGTATTAGCGTTTTGGAACTCAGTCACCGGTCCTCCGAGTACATGGTCATCAACAATAGAGCCATCGATTTATACAGAGAATTACTGTAAATATTATAACATGCACCTATAATAATGTATCTTGTGATTATAAATTTAACGGTTTTTTTATGGGACCAGTTTACTTAATAAGTAGTAGGTACTATCGTTTATTAGAATATTTACAATTATAACGGAGTCCCGTCAGCAAAATAGTTAAAGAATCGTATGCGAATATTGATTTCCGATTGGTTCCTATTTCCACGAGATTTTTCCACAATTTCGTCTTCAGTAAATCATTTCTATTATCTAATTATAATTTCTCATGATTTATTCAAGAAATATTCGACTCTATCAATGATATGAATAGGGAAAGTTTTGGGGCACTATTTAGTGAATAAGAAAGTCGAATTTTGAGTGGCATTGGTGTAAGTGAAAAGTCGGAAGTTCATATCTTGAATACTAATGAAATTTGTACTTAACGATAAATTATTGCAAATGAAAAATTATTCTGAGTGAATTATAGTTAAACACGTTTTAATACATTTAAATTGTTAAACTATATTAGTTTGTAACTAAAAAAATAAATAATAATTGTCTATATTTCTCGTCTCGACGTTTCGAGCACTAATATAATGGAGCCAAAAGATTTTTGTCTGCATAAATTAGGAAATATTATTTTCAAAATGTCGTGATTTCTACGATTTTAATTTAAACGGTTATAAAAAGCTTTTCGATATTTTTAAGTATCATAGGAATAACTTATGATAATGAACCTTAATTTTTGAGCATTTTTGAGAGGTCAATTTAATTCTGTCCACATAGAAAAGAACAAAAAAAAAAAAAAAAAAAAAAACACTTTTTTCGATTCTCCATACATTTTAAATGATTTATTTAATTTTAAACTTTCACAATTATAGAATATACTTAAGGAGATAACGTGCTCTTGGGTCTTGAAAGTATAATGTACTAAGACATTTACTGTTTATGACACACTGCAGTAGTGGATTAGATTTCCGGCAGTCTGCAATGGTTTCTATCTCTAGTATTCGTGTATAGAGTAGTGGTTCCTAAACGATGGTCCCCGGACCTGTCATAGATGTTATGTTATCATACATGTATTATAAAGTAATAATTAATAAAAAATGACCACACAAAATTTAGGAACTACTGGTTCAAAGAAAGAAAATCTCCTCACATTTACTCACATACTACACATAATTTTAGTCTCGAAATCGTTTGGTCAGTACTTATAGTAGCAGCAGTCAGCAGCCAGCTGTCTAATCCAAATACCTTTCAAAACCAAAAACATTTGGCATTCTGATTGGCCAGAAATAAAAGGCTATAAATCATTACGTGCGCATTAAGACATGAAATTCAATAAAAAAAAAAAGCCTTAGGCATCACATATTTGTTTATAAATTGTGATACGTATATAATAGTTATTTTGTAATTTATTAGTTAGAAAAAACTCTAAACATTTAAAAAATATTACAGTAACATCCCAGAAAACTATAAAATAGCTTTGGTACAAGGAGGAGGAACCGGTGCTTTTGCTTCGGTAGCTTTGAACTTATTGCACAGGGGCGGAAAAGCTGATTATATACTGACAGGTTACTGATTATATACCTCTAAACATAATAATAATAATTATTATTACTATTATTTTTATACCACGAAGATGTTTTTCGATAGGCGTTTGGTCTACAAAAGCAGCTAAAGAAGCGTCGAAGTATTTAAATGTAAATTACGTATATCCAAAACCAGAAAAATTCACCGATATACCGGATCAGTCTACATGGAATCTAGACCCAGAAGCTGCGTATGTATACTACTGCGATAACGAAACAGTGAACGGTACGGAATTTTTCGGAACTATTCTATTTTCATTAAATAATTTGTTACGTAATATTGATTTAGGGTAAAATTTAAAAAAATAGACACACAAGTCATATTTTATACAATAACATGTATTTTAGAGTAGTATAAAACATAATAACCTAATAATAAGTACAGTGATATTATTCTGTAAATTACCTATAGCCGATTTATAAATATAATTAATTTAAATTTCATAAAGTTTAATTATGATGTAATAGTTATACAAATTTGATAATACTTGTATACAACACTTGTTTAACACATGAATTCGAAATCTAAAATGTATTAATAAGGGGGGACACAATTATTCTTGTCGGTATTTTTAGTAAATAATTATTTTGAAAAATGGTTTGAACAGGGTGTTATTTTAAATGATTTGAAACATATTTTCAAAAGTTTTATTTTATATAGTATACAGTTTTTAATGATACATTTTTAAACAAAAATAGTAGATAAAATATTACTATTATAGGTAAAAACATAAAATTGATTGTAATTAATAGTTTGTATTATTTTTTTTTGTAACATAAGAATTAAATCATTATTTCCCGTGTTTAATTATGTTTTTAAATAGGTAATACAAATAAATATAATGACGTGTTTACATAATACTCGTGCATTTGATCAATCATTTTGGATTATCTAACTTTAATTTATATAAAATGTTTTATTTCAAATTAATTGAGTTTCGTTTATTTTTATAGGAGTTGAATTTCCGTTTATTCCTGAAACAAATGGAGTGCCACTGGTGTGTGATATGTCATCCAACATTATGACGAGAAAATTTGACGTGACTAAGGTAAATATTACTTCGATAATCGTAATCGAATACGACTGTCTTCTTCTGTTATCTAATGATGATAGATTACATTTTTGGATTAGGACACGTAATCCTATTAATTTTGTCATTTCACTTACAGTTCGGTGTGGTATTAGCTTGTGCCCAAAAGAACCTAGGTCCCGCGGGTATTACTGCAATTATCGTACGCGAGGATCTTCTAGGAAAACCAAGTCCTCTTTGCCCACAAGTTTTTGATTATACATTAATGGTGCAGGAAAATTCTTTGCTTAATACACCGCCGACATTCATGTGAGTTTGTTATTTTTGGATGTATTTATTATTATTATTATTAGTGTTGTAATAATAATCTAATAATTTGATTACGTTCGGACAGCGTTTATATTTTCTCACTCGTATTACAATGGGTCAAAAATCAAGGAGGAATTGAAGCTATGGAAGCAAATTCGAAGGCTAAAAGTGAACTTTTATACAACGTTATTGAGGAGTCTCAGGGTTTCTATTCGTGCCCGGTGGCTAAAAATGCAAGAAGTCGCATAACCGTGCCGTTCCGCTTAGGCGCAGGAGCGGAAGCTGACAAGCAGTTTCTTAAGGAAGCTCAAGAGTTAGGATTTTTGCAACTTAAAGGACACAGGTATTGCACTAATCAATATAATATATTATATATTATAATGAGATTAATAATCTTATGAATCGTTCGGTTATTATTGTAGATTGGTGGGCGGTGTTCGAGCAGCCATGTATAACGCATTGACATTGGACGAATTGAAAATTTTAGTTGATTTTATGACTAAGTTCCAAGAACGTAATCCGCAATATTCAACTTGAACAAGGATTAAACTATTCGATATACTCATGGTTATTTTGTTTTGTTTTTTGTTGTTATATATTTTCATTTATGAAAACAGTAATCTCATTTTGAAAGTTTGACCGATGAAAGTTAATTCGTGTTGACATGAAGTAATTGCACACAACAAGATTACGTTTTCAGTCGTTTTTGTACTTTAATAGTTCACTCGAATCTGGGTTTTTGATTTGCTTTTCACTAAAAAACAAACAAATTTGCAGTTTGCTGAGTGAAAAGGATAAAAAAATAAAGTGGCGGAAGCGAGAAAGATAGAGTATGTATCTCACATACAGCGGGAGAGAAGGAGAAAGAGAGAGGGCTTTTAGCGAAATAGGATATTTTATTATTATACCGAGGAGGTCGAAAGGATAAATCAATGTCACGGATGGGTAGCGCCCAGATAGCGGAATAAATTAGTATTCAGTTCTTCCAGAAACACGATTTTCAACAGGCCAACACGAGACTAAATAATGAATTTATAGACTCACTTGAAACCTTGAAACTCACAGGATATACTAAAAATTCTGGAAAGTATATTGATCAACATTCGGTCTAACTACGTCGAAAACTAGCTTAAGGGGCGTTTTATGATATTAATATTTTGAATAAAAGTATCGTTTACTTTGTGCTACAGCAGTTATATAATATACACTATGAATATACCTAGATAATAAGTGTGATTGGTTGGTAAAATATTAATACGATAATTAGGTAATCGTGTTAATTTGTTTAGATTGTTTGCAAAATTGCAGAGGTACCTCTATTACAAGTCAAATATCTTAAAGGTGGTTTATTGATAGTATTTGTAAGTATAATATTTTAATTGATTGTATAATCAACTAATTGAATTAACTATAGTATCTTATGATACATTAGATTATCCAAAAAATATGAAACACAAATCCGTTAAAATATTTTAATAATGTAATCATATAAAATGTAAAGTGAAAAAATATAATCAAGTAAAAACTTTTAAAATTATAATTTTTACGCCTTTATACTTGTTCATCTGATTTCATATAATTCATACAAATACATACATAAATTTCATACAGGGGTTTTTTTTTTAAACGATGATACAAATTGTTTTGTGTTTTATTATCAAGATGTTTTAAAATTTTTATTTCTACTTATATAGAAAATTACTGTACATAAACACTAATAAATAAATATAATAAAAAAAAAACCAAATCGAAAAAATCGAGAAACGTGTTGTTGTGTAATTAGGTATGAACAACAATTCTTATTATTGTTTTTTTTTTTTTTTTTTTTTAAGACAAATTGTGAAATAAAAACACGAAAAAAACGATGTTAGTAGATTTTTTTAAAAAAATAATATGAAAATTGAAGATGCACTACTGCATTTTATAGATATTTTACTATTAGATTGTAAACCAAGCGAGGAATGTATTAATAATAATAATTGGGTTTACTATGATGTGTTTATTTTATTTTTTTATCTATAGAACTTTCCTATAGAAATCTTGCTCCGTTTATAAATTGTATAATAACTTCCTTGTGGAATTTATGATCTAGTTGGCACATTGAGGAGGGTAATTTTTGATTTTTTTTTTGTAATTTTTATAATAAAAAACAACTGGCAATCTTTTGTAATATATTAATTCCTTCTGGGTGATCTTAGCAAAAACGAAAAAAATACTACTTTTAATACACTGCTGTACATTTAGATTAGAAAAGCAAGACAATATTTATTATTTTCGCATAGAACAGTAAATATATTGTAAAATACAATAAAACATAATAAAACAAATTATTCAATAATGAATGAAATAATTCCACCTTAAGCAACACAGTATATAGATATTTAAAACATCATGTTAATCGGAATATGCTAAAAGATAGCACCTGTACCTATATCGTGTAAAATAAACTTATCAAATAATTATAATTTTATTATTGGTTTAGGTACTTAAATAATTTTAAGTATAAGTTACATGCTTCATACAAGAACTTGAATCGAGGGGCTCTGGTGCAATGAACTGCTTGCACCGTGGTTTCTATGGCATTGTACAGTCTGGTGGGCATTTATAGTATTCTGCATTTATGGATGGTTTTTTATATTTATCGGAAGATCTGACCCGCGGCGAGTAGGTATTGAATTCAGCTGTCGAACTATAAAACACAGTAACCGACATTCTTATAATTTTTCATATTAACTGTTATTAAAATTAAATTGCGCAGTTTTTTTGATATTATACACTTTTGGTTGAAATATTTGTGTTACTTTTGAAAATCATTACTTTTAACCTTTTACATTTCAATACCCATAAGTGACCCGTGTTAAATAAATTATTAAAATGTCTTTACTGTACAATTTGTAAAATGTTAGTCACTATGTTTTATGTTTCTACAGTCATATTTTTTTGTGCTGCGATCAATAAACACGATAGAATTCATTTCCACAATCACCTTTTTTTTTTCAACGCGGGACATTTTAGCATTCTTTGGGAACGACGGGACACAAAGCTCAAAGGCGAGACTGTCCCACCGGAAACGAGACGTATGGTTACGTTATGTATAAGTAGGTACATATTGAATTGTTGTAAACAAATTATTTAGTATCTATGATTTATTTACTTAGTAATTTATCTTATTTATCTTATATTATATTATCAGAGAACTAAAAATGTTGTAGATTGATTAAGGTGATTCATATTTCATACCGACTAGATCAAATTTTAGGGGATGAGATACTGTAGTATCTCAGCACCCCGGTCAGTTCACCCTAGCGCTACTCAGAATTTGTTCGTTACCTAATAATGGCTAATATTTGCGTACAGATATAAATTAAATTACCTACTATTTATATTCTCTCTTCTAACTTCCCTCTTAAAACCGTGACGCATTCATCAGCAGTATCAGCCTTTTTGAAATTTGAATTTTAAGAGAGCTTATTGTGAGCCGAAATTTTTATTTATTCATTTTTTTTTTTTTTTGAAATAAATCTGGGTACTGGAAATTCGACACGAAATAATGTTATTGAGATTGACTTGTAATATTATATTATATAATCAGAGGGTCTTGCGGACGGTATATTGAAAATAATTCTGTTATGATATACGAACTAAGATATTATATTTTGTAACAATAATTCGATTTTCTTTTATAGATCATATTACACAATTATAAGACAGCCAATTTAAAGTGCAGATTTTCCCAAGAGTTTCTATACATTTATTATAATAATATTGAATACAAAATTTGGGTTGTATTGGTTGAAATTAAATTACGATTTATCAATGTGGGATGTGGAAAACTAAACGATTTTCTCCTTTTAATATTGTACACTTCTCGTGGGAGGATATTCTGCGAATATAATATAGATGTATATTAAATTATTTTAAATGAAGATTTTTCGCGTTTTTTTTTCATGCATCCTGATAAAAACAGGAATTTAATTTTCGATTTTTTTTTTTTAAACAACGATAAAATATCTTTGGGCGGTAAAACAAAATATACGCTCGCTTTAAATGCGCATTGTGATGTATATTTTTTCGTCGTTTAATTAAAAATGGTGAATATAAAAATATTATATTATTTTTTTTTTTTAGTATGAGTTAATACGATCCGACAACGTCGCCCGCGATGAAACGAAAATAATAATAAGAATGACGAAAAAAACTAAAAAAGTAATGTACGCGTCGTAAAAAAAAAGCCGAATGGATCACATACGGAGAAATTTATACTGTTAGGTATAAGCCGACGAACGACAGTTATTATAATAAAACGAAATGATTATTTTTTCCCAGATAATTAAATAGGTACCTGTGTATTATTATTAATAAGGAATAACCTGCTGGGTCGTGCGAAAGACTAAACTCTACTGCAGGTGACTTGGCTTAAAATGTCGTTTAATATGAATTCCCAAGAGAAAGAAAAAAATCGCCTCTATAAACATAACCGTAAATATCTACCTAAATTAACACTCCCAAAGCATTTGTTATGTATTTTTTTGTCACTATAGGTTTTGTATTAATTTCTTATATTTTTTCGAATATACAATTATAATATACTCGTACGAGTATGTGGCCAAAGACGACCGTCGTGCAACCTGTTATCATTCCCTCACGCATTTCAAAGCCAAATGCTTGCGTATTTATTAATTTTAAACAATTTATAATAATTAATAATATTGAAATTATATAGTAAATTTTTTAATGAAAAAAAGACATGAGCGCGGGTATACTTTGGTAAAACGTATAAAACTGAAAATTCAGTATATTATACATTAAAAAAAAAAAAATTAACAATTCGAATCTTCTCATTAGAATCGAATTTTCTTCAAGCCTATTTGTTGCCGTTACAATATATTCTTATTCTTCGATGCCTACAAGACGTATGTATAAATCTACGATTCTGCCTCTGGTTTAATTTGGGGGTCTATACGGATATACATTGCTAAAAAATACTTTTCTCTCGAGACAACATGTTGTATAGTTCATATTGAAATTCAACTAAAATTAACCGTTACATGTTATAAAAAACGCGCTCAAATTTCCGAATTTAAGCTCTTTTGGTTTAGAAGGAGCCGCTTAAAGTATCTAAATGTACCGTGAGAAAAAATATATACTTACATAACAGACACAATGCAGTGCAATAATTTTAATTATTTGGAAAAGTTTAAAAATAAAAAATAAAGTTGGCGTGCTGTATTAAAACGTTTCATTCAGAATAAAATGTTAAAAATAAAGTTATTATTGTATTTTTTAAGATGCAAGGTTGAGCAAGTTAATGATTTTTTTCAATTCAGTCAAGTTAAATTTAAACTTAAATAAAATTAATAATTACAAGTTAATTCAAAATAATCTAACAATTCAACTAGGTTAGAAGTTAACCAAAAGTTAAAATTACTTTTAACACAAGTTAAGTGAATTAAAAAAACAAAAATTGCTTCCCTATTTTCATACAGGTAAACTTAAATTAATAATATATTTTATGTAGTTAAAACTTAATTATATGGACATAATATAATTTTGACAAAAAAAAATATAAAAATAAAAATACATTGTTGAAAAATGAAAAACAACACTTTAATATAATAATATAATATCAATACAAACAGATACATACATGATTTATCGTAAGGGAACCTTTTTAAACTTCATTATTTTATAATTAACAGTAAAAATAAAAATACAGCCTGTAAATTCCGTCTGTTGCTATCTTCTAGACAATAATATATCCATAGTTTCTATTCTCTGCATAGATTATAATAATAATGGCATAATAATCAACCTAAAACGGCTACACCCCTAATCGGTGACAATAGTAAAAAATATATTGGCATTCACAAAAATAATTTATATTTTAAAATGTCCATAATACATTGATAAAAATAAAAATAATATAATATTTATTTATAAAGCATAAAAATTAAAATTAACCTAACTTGTTTAAGTATACAATTAACTCTAGTTATTAAAAGTTAATACTTCTGTATTCTTCAAGTTAACTATTAAGTTAATAGTTCAAACAAAATATATTTATTAAGTTAAAAAGTTAAATTAGCTGAACTTTAACTTATTAACTATCGTTAATACCCAGCCTTGTTAAGACATAACAATATTAAAAGGTACTGATATTGAAGGTATTTTAATTTACATTTGTTTTTGCGATTTCCATACGAGCTTCGTTAAAATTTGACCGTTGAACGTTTATATAAAAAATAGTACTAGTATTTGTATATTGCTGGTCTTTTGTGCCGGGTTGGCCACTGTTGTATGCATCTATAGGTGAAAATTTGGGAGGGCAAGACACTTATTAGGGTAATATTAAATTTAATATGTATCTGTGTACGCCTGATAAATCGTTGCTACCGAAAAGCGATTCTGAGCGAAGTTCGGTTAATCGTATTTCACTGCTTTTGTTGAAATACAACCATCAAACGCTTAAAAAAAAAAACCATTACGTTTGACTTTTAAGATCAACGGATCAACCCACATGTCCGCACACACAAACACACAATGGAACACGATTTACGATGTACATATATACAAACACAAACTCGTGATTCGACTTAAATTTAGAAGTCAAACAACGCGCGGTGTAACCCGTTGCCCCGGGTAACGGTCCCGGACCGCTTTTAAAACGCTACAAAATTCACAATGTCTATATTTGAGTTCTATAAAATATTTACCCCCTGTCGAATGGTCCGCCTCCGTATACCCGAAACAGTTTTCGAGGAAATTCAACTGCTACGCGAGAAAAGTTTTATATTTGGCGCATATATCATACAATATTATTATACACAGGATGATTATTTCATCACGAACCGCACAGCGATCACCTGTATTATAGAATAGACGATACTTATTAGATGTCGAGTTTGATTTTGGTTTTCTTTTCTTTTCCAATCGTAAATCGTTATTGTAGAATCGTTTATCGACGATATTTTCAACATTTGACGGTGAAATTTACTCGCGAAGTCTACGTTATTTCACCACATATTATATTATAAACAAATAAAATATTATCCTCGAGCAGCGGGGAGCTCCGCCTATAGAGTCGAATTTTTCCCTATTTATTTTATATAATATAAAATATGTACTTTGCGAAACAATAAAAAACCGAATAGTATAATAATATACAATAATATGTACTCACATCTCAACACATTCTACCAACAAATCATCCTGTATAATAAACGCACGACGATTCATGTATATATTATATTTACGCGTAAGTATATTTTACATTATATACCTACTACGTTATGATGACGTCCCGCGGGAATTCATCATATAATAATAATTATTGCACAATGGTTCCAGTGCAGCGTTATTGTGTTAATAATGATATTTAAATTCTGCGTTTCGCGTAAGTCGTTGCATTTTTAAACGACGACGCTGTCGTATATAGGCGGCTATAAATGTACCGTGGATTCTGTGTTTATTATCATTTTTACAGTTTTTGTACAGATCACAGTGTTGGGAAAGTTCCTTTTAAAAAGAAATTCGTTCCCGTTCCTCGTTCCTTTAAGCATTTCTTTTCTTTTATGATTACGCATATTATATATTCATTAAAAAATTATATTGAGGACGGGTTCATCTACTAATGTAGGTGGGAAGTTGGGAAGGAAAGCTAACTTAAGTTAAAAACTATTCTTACTTCTTAAAATCTACATGTTTAAAATCCTAATAAATATTAAAATACATATTCTAGTTCCTACCCT